GTCAAGAATTGCTTTCCACAACTCAGCGTTGCTCCTGAATTGTCGTCCGTTGGCGTACAGTCTTCGCTTCATGATGCTCCAAAGGTTTTCGATTGGGTTCAAATCCGGAGAATTTGCTGGCCACTTCATTTTTCGAGGTCCATCGAAGCCTATCTGTTTCAAATATTCAGTAGTCTTGTGAGCAGCATGTGAAGGAGCATTATCTTGCATAAAAACAATGGCTCTTCTGAAGACAAATCTATGCCTTTTCAACCACGGTTCAAGATGCTCCTTCATAAACGATATGTATGCATCAGCAGTCATTTTGACGCCATCTGGTACTCTCCATGGCCCCACTAATGTTTTTCCAATAATACCACCCCAGATCATTATGCCTCCACCGCCTTGTTGGCGTCTCAAACGCTGATGGCGATTCTGTCCGGTCATTACGCAGCCTTTGCACCACCTATCTGGCCCATCAAGTGTTGCTCGAGTTTCATCTGTGAACAGAACTTTAGAGAAGTCAATGTTCATATTGTCCTCGGCCCATTTCAATCGATTTTGAATGTAATTTCTCGTCAACGGAGGCTTCGATACAGGTTTCACTGTTGTTGCTATTTCCCTCAGATACCAACACCGTGTACTTTTAGACACAGTAGGATCCCCAATACGACTGAAAAGCTCTTGACTGGTAAGTCCAGGGTTCTTCGTGGTCTCTCGTTTAATTCGTGACATGAGACGACGTGAAATAACCCTCGGCTTGCCTTTATCTGCTCTTTTGCGTACTTGTGTAGGGTCGGCGGTGAACTTTTTCACTGTTTGATGACATCTCCCTATCATTTTAAAAATTTCTAGGGTAGATTTAACTTTTGAGAGTTCTGAGGTGATAGTTTTCTTTTCAGCATTACTTAAACTGCTTTTACGGCCCATCTTTTCACTAAATTCTTACACTTTTCTAATAATTTGGCACGCTCAAACCACCGCACTGATAACAAATATGGCGCCAGTTTGTTTACATTGCGCAGATCAGTACGAAAATTTCAGTGATTGCGCAGCTCAGTGTTGCCAATTTTGTGTGAATTGATTGGACGGTTTTTGAAATATTAGAACGATAGTTATCTCGATAATAATTTGGCACGCAGTGTTTGTTAAATAAGACTATAGCAGACTATTGTTTTTCCGGGGAAAACTTTGGGGGTCAGATGTATAACACAGCAAGGAAGTCAATTCTGGTTGGCTACCGTGGGAATGATAGATAGAGAAAAGTCTTTCAGAGAGTTGCTTCTTAACCGTCAAGAGTGGTAGACGTGTTCTCTTTCGTGTCTGAAACGGCTCCCCAATGATGGTGGCACTGGATGGTTAGTACATGTTGACATTAATAAAAATAGATAAGTTCAAATTTTCCGTGTTTGACGTGTTTCATCTTGGGACCTAAAACATTTAGCCACCCCCGCCCGGGAGAAGACGAAAGGGATTACAACATTATATATATATATATATATATATATATATATATATATATATATATATATATATATATATTGATTCTAGTCCTAAAGCGATCCAAATCCATGTCTTCAGAGGTGTAGCCGTAGTTACTACGCTTGGCGAAATGTGGGCTGGTAAGCCTATTTAACCCATAGTTGGGGGTGGATGGCCGTTGACTGATCATCATCCTCATGACCGGGTGTGGTCGTCGGGTTGGTGCGCAGCTGGTCCGTTCTCTCCACATGTCACGGTAAAGCATTCATTCATGCGTGGCGTATTTTGAGCAAAGTAGATCTGTCGAAGCCCATCCCTCTCCAGGTCAGACTACAGCCGATGCTCTCCAACTTGGATGCTCTTGGTCCCGTACACGTAGCAGCTGACGCCATAGAGGGAACCTTCCACTCTGGTCGTTGACTCCTATCAAGAAAGCCTCCGTTCAGCGATGCCGTGTCACCAAAACACTGGCTGCAGACATAACTATGGAAGTCTGCCCAGGTTTTTATGGCTGTTTAGCCTGCAAGAGGGTTCATCCGCCCTTTGTCTGGTTTTGATTTTAATCCTTCTGGATGTTTAGCCATGTTTCTAAAAAAAAAAAAAATTCATGGGTTACATGGTATCAATAACACTCGTAAAGTGAGATGATATTTGCTTTACAGAGTGGTCCGAAAGTCTTGTCACCTCCACATAATACAGGGTGTTTCAAAAAATTTGATATCCTTTGAGATGTAAATATCACAGAAAGTACATGATTAAGGCAAATGAAATTAAAAAGTATTAACGTTGAAGATTATAAGATTTATTCTTCCAAATCTGAATGAGAAATTCAAAAGCATGTGGATTATGTGAACGATTTCACAAATGTGAAGTTTGTGATCATTCGGATCCTTTTGCTCTGCACAGACAGCCTTCCTCTTTGAACTTTTTATGCCATCTCCAAATCTGCATTCCTGTTGGTGACTTTCTAGAGAACTCTCTCATAAATGCACGCTGCACAGTCTTATTTGACTGTGTTCTAGCAAACTCCAACACACAAAACGCCTTTTCTCTTCTAGTAAATAACATTTTTATACCTGTAAAGAAAAAGATTAAAGATTAAAGAACATAAAAATACAAATAAGAAAAACACAAAAACATAAAGACATAAAAACATAAAACAAACATTAAACATAAAGATGCTATTAAAATTTGAAGTCATTTGAAGAAGATCTAACAAAGTTATTAGATTGTGAAATGATATCAATTTTTTTGAAACACCCTGTATAATTTTCTATTTCAAATGGCAGACACGAGTTCCTACAGTTTGGAAGAGAGGCCGTTTGGAAGAGAGGCCGTTTGGAAGAGAGGCCATTTGGAATATTTACATTGTTACATAATAACTGTACCCGATTTACATTGTTACATAATAACAGTACCCGATTTGGAAGAGAGGCCGTTTGGAATTGAAGCCGTTTGGAAGAGAGGCCGTTTGGAAGAGAGGCCGTTTGGAAGTGAGGCCGTTTGGAAGAGAGGCCGTTTGGAAGAGGCCGTTTGGAAGTGAGGCCGTTTGGAAGAGAGGCCGTTTGGGAGAGAGGCCGTTTGGAAGAGAGGCCATTTGGAAGAGAGGCCGTTTGGGAGAGAGGCCGTTTGGAAGAGAGGCCATTTGGAAGAGAGGCCATTTGGAAGTGTATGGACATGATCGTGTGAATAAAGTGAATCCAGTACATGTGCTTTGTATTACTGTATTACTGTATTACTTATTCTATTGTTCTCATTACTATTTGGTAGACGTGACAAGACTTTCAGACCACTCTGTAGCTGTAAATTATTTTATCAACTATAGCTATAATTATTTATTTTTTATTTTTTTATTTTTTTACAGTAAGGTTCACCCTGTACAAGGCCCGGGAGGCACTCGAGTTAGAGGGTAGTTTATATAGATAAGAGGGGAAGATAACTGTTAACTCTAGACTTGAACTGGATAAGATTGTAGTGATCGAGGAAACATCCTCTTGGGAATCAAAGGAGTGGTTATCGGGAAGAAGCTGTTCGAGTGGAACTTACTTTGCGCTGAGGGAATATGGAGGAAATGTGGGTAGTTTACTACTATGGAAGTGGCAGGGCAGTTCCTAGCCGTGAAGGAACTACATTCCTCAGCGGAACCGAGGGATGTAGTTCGTCCAAGCATTTACCGTGTTAGTAGCGATAGAACAGTGAGAGACCCGTCACATCCCAGCTGTGAGACAGAGGTTGGAGGGTGGAAAATAATTCTTCTCCAACAAGGATTCGGAGACGCTTTTGAACTCTATTAGGACTGGAATGTGAGAACTGGGCAGCTCCTGCCCAAATATAATAACAGTACCCGATTTTCAGCCTGACACGAGTTCCTATAGTTTGGAAGAGAGGCCGTTTGGAAGAGAAACCGTTTGGAAGAGAGGCCGTTTGGAAGAGAAACCGCTTGGAAGAGAGGCCGTTTGGAAGAGAAGCCGTTTGGAAGAGAGGCCGTTTGGAAGAGAAGCCGTTTGGAAGTGAGGCCGTTTGGAAGAGAAGCCGTTTGGAAGAGAGGCCGTTTGGAAGAGAGGCCGTTTGGAAGAGAAGCCGTTTGGAAGAGAGGCCGTTTGGAAGAGAAGCCGTTTTAAAGAGAGGCCGTTTGGAAGAGAAGCCGTTTGGAAGAGAAGCCGTTTGGAAGATAGGCCGTTTGGAAGACAAGCCGTTTTAAAGAGAGGCCGTTTGGAAGAGGGCCGTTTGGAAGAGAAGCCGTTTGGAAGAAGCCGTTTTAAAGAGGAGGCCGTTTGGAAGAGAGAGGCCGTTAGAAGCCGTTTGAAGAGAGGCCGTTTGGAAGAGAAGCCGTTTGGAAGAGAGCCGTTTGGAAGAGAAGTCGTTTGGAAGAGAGGCCGTTTGGAAGAGAAGCCGTTTGGAAGTGAGGCCGTTTGGAAGAGAAGCCGTTTGGAAGAGAGGCCGTTTGGAAGAGAAGCCGTTTGGAAGAGAGGCCGTTTGGAAGAGAAGCCGTGTTAAAGAGAGGCCGTTTGGAAGAGAAGCCGTTTGGAAGAGAGGCCGTTTGGAAGAGAAGCCGTTTGGAAGAGAGCCGTTTGGAAGAAAGCCGTTTTAAAGAGAGGCCGTTTGGAAGAGAAGCCGTTTGGAAGAGAAGCCGTTTGGAAGATAGGCCGTTTGGAAGACAAGCCGTTTTAAAGAGAGGCCGTTTGGAAGAGAGGCCGTTTGGAAGAGAAGCCGTTTGGAAGAGAAGCCGTTTTAAAGAGAGGCCGTTTGGAAGAGAGGCCGTTAGAAGCCGTTTGGAAGAGAGGCCGTTTGGAAGAGAAGCCGTTTGGAAGAGAGGCCGTTTGGAACAGAAGCCGTTTGAAAGAGAAGCCGTTTGAAAGATAGGACGTTTGGAAGACAAGCCGTTTTAAAGAGAGGCCGTTTGGAAGAGAAGCCGTTTGGAAGAGAGGCCGTTTGGAAGAGAAGCCGTTTGGAAGAGAAGCCGTTTTAAAGAGAGGCCGTTTGGAAGAGAAGCCGTTAGAAGCCGTTTGGAAGAGAGGCCGTTTGGAAGAGAAGCCGTTTTAAAGAGAGGCCGTTTGGAAGAGAAGCCGTTTGGAAGAGAGGCTGTTTGGAAGAGAAGCCGTTTGGAAGTGAGGCCGTTTGGAAGAGAAGCCGTTTGGAAGAGGCCGTTTGGAAGAGAGGCGTTTGGAAGAGAAGCCGTTTGGAAGAGAGGCCGTTTGGAAGAGAAGCCGCTTGGAAGAGAAGCCGTTTGGAAGACAAGCCGTTTTAAAGAGAGGCCGTTTGGAAGAGAAGCTGTTTGGAAGAGAAGCCGTTTGGAAGAGAGGCCGTTTGGAAGAGAAGCCGTTTGAAAGTGAGGCCGTTTGGAAGAGAAGCCGTTTGGAAGAGAGGCCGTTTGGAAGAGAGGCCGTTTGGAAGAGAGGCCGTTTGGAACAGAAGCCGCTTGGAAGAGAAGCCGTTTGGAAGATAGGCCGTTTGGAAGAGAAGCCGTTTTAAAGTGAGGCCGTTTGGAAGAGAAGCCGTTTGGAAGAGAGGCCGTTTGGAACAGAAGCCGCTTGGAAGAGAAGCCGTTTGGAAGATAGGCCGTTTGGAAGACAAGCCGTTTTAAAGAGAGGCCGTTTGGAAGAGAAGCCGTTTGGAAGAGAAGCCGTTTGGAAGAGAGGCCGTTTGGAAGAGAAGCCGTTTGGAAGAGAAGCCGTTTTAAAGAGAGGCCGTTTGGAAGAGAGGCCGTTAGAAGCCGTTTGGAAGAGAGGCCGTTTGGAAGAGAAGCCGTTTGGAAGAGAGGCCGTTTGGAAGAGAAGCAGTTTCTTAAAAAGGTAGAGCAGCATTTCTAAACCTTTTTACCCTTGCGTAACCCTTAAAATAAATTACATGTCTCAAGGAACCCCTGCGCAAAAACAAAATTATTCACCATATCTTTCTCATTTTATTTTCATCGTAGTTCCCTTCGTAAATATCATCGGATATATTTTTGAATAACTGGTTTAAGGAAAACTTAATACTTCTTTGTCAAATTTTTCGGTAATGCTAAATAAAATTCATACTGTTCATTTATAATACTTCATCAGGGAGTTTTCAAGAAAGAAAAAAACCCAAAGATATTCGTAACTTTAAGTCCGAGTCCCGTTCGCTGAGTTGGCACTGACTAGTGAAGATGGTTTTCATACTGGCTCCGTACAAACATCACTAAATATATTCCCAATGATTGTTATATTTTTTAATAACATAATAGGTTAGATAGGATGGTGTCTATATTACAATATTGCAATATATTGTGCGTGTGTTTAGTATATATTTTTGAATAACTGGTTTAAGGAAAAATGAATACTTCTTTGTCAAATTTTTCGGTAATGCTAAATAAAATTAATTCTGTTCGTTTATAATACTTCATAAGGAAGTTTTCATTCACACAAAAATTATTCTAACCTCAAACGTAAAAAATAAACATAAGTAACTAATATCAAATACCTATAATATAAATGTAAACAAAACGAAAACATAATTGCTGCATCAGATTTAAAAAAAATTTTCTCCTTTACTGGCAATGGTAAAAAGACATGAGGTAAATCAAGGCAAAATGTCCTTTCAACCAATAAATGGGCTAATAAAATGTTCCTTTCAGAGCCATTTGATAAAGTGAAACATGTTTTTCTAATGTGAAGCCTGTGCCTGTCTTTTGCTACACAAATACTTAATTCGAGGTCGAACTTTAGAGTAACACACGGATTTCATTCTCAGTTGAGAGGAGAGGATGTATTGCGTATATTTAGTAATATTACGTATATGAAATTAAATAAAAAGTCAAAAGTGCATTAGCGTATCTCATCTGTTCTCGCGGAACCCTTGGGGACCTTTTGCGGAACCTTAGGGTTCCGGGAAACCCCGGTTGAGAAACACTAAGGTAGAGGATAGCATCACTTGAGGAGTCAGGTACTTACTGGAGCGGTACAGGGAGCCGACAATTTCACATGCACATTTAGCGATGGACTGTATGTACCGGTTCGACTTAAGGTCGGTGTGTGTTTGAGGCCTAATATCCTCTCAAGGTACGGGGCCTACTTCAGGGGACACTCGTTCATTCGGCAGTTCGGGGTTCGATCGGCGTTGATGAAATGAAATTAGTTTGATTTTCGAGGTATTGAATGTAACCGATCAGTTTTTCCTCCAACAGGGAAGTTAGTGTTCGATCGGAAATGAGGTCAACTGCCAGTCTGTGAACGTCAATAGTTTTAGAGGTAGCTGAAATTTTTCCCTGCAGCTTTAGCGATGGACACTATGTACTGATGGGGAGTTTCCTTCCGGACCTTTTTATTGTGAAAGAGTGTGAAATGTTAACATCTTGATTATGTCATACTATTAGGAAAACACGTTTCTCAAGTCCAGTAGCTGTTATCGCTCTTTCCAGTATTGATGGTGGGTTTCCTTCCGGACCTTTTTATTGTGAAAGAGTGTGAAATGTTAACATCTTGATTATGTCATGCTTTTAGGAAAACACGTTTCTCAAGTCCAGTAGCTGTTATCGCTCTTTCCACTATTGATGGTGGGTTTCCTTCCGGACCTTTATATTGTGAAAGAGTGTCAAATGTTAACATCTGGATTATATCATGCTTTTAGGAAAACACGTTTCTCAAGTCCAGTAGCTGTTATCGCTCTTTGCAGTATTGATGGTGGGTTTCCTTCCGACCTTTTTATTGTGAAAGAGTGTGAAATGTTAACATCTTGATTATGTCATACTATTAGGAAAACACGTTTCTCAAGTCCAGTAGCTGTTATCGCTCTTTCCAGTATTGATGGTGGGTTTCCTTCCGGACCTTTTTACTGTGAAAGAGAGTCAAATGTTAACATCTGGATTATGTCATGCTTTTTAGGAAAACACGTTTCTCAAGTCCAGTAGCTGTTATCGCTCTTTGCAGTATTAATGGTGGGTTTCCTTCCGGACCTTTATATTGTGAAAGAGTGTGAAATGTTAACATCTTGATTATGTCATGCTTTTAGGAAAACACGTTTCTCAAGTCCAGTAGCTGTTATCGCTCTTTCCATTATTGATGGTGGGTTTCCTTCCGGACCTTTTTATTGTGAAAGAGTGTGAAATGTTAACATCTTGATTATGTCATGCTTTTAGGAAAACACGTTTCTCAAGTCCAGTAGCTGTTATCGCTCTTTCCACTATTGATGGTGGGTTTCCTTCCGGACCTTTATATTGTGAAAGAGTGTCAAATGTTAACATCTGGATTATGTCATGCTTTTAGGAAAACACGTTTCTCAAGTCCAGTAGCTGTTATCGCTCTTTGCAGTATTGATGGTGGGTTTCCTTCCGGACCTTTTTATTGTGAAAGAGTGTGAAATGTTAACATCTTGATTATGTCATACTATTAGGAAAACACGTTTCTCAAGTCCAGTAGCTGTTATCGCTCTTTCCAGTATTGATGGTGGGTTTCCTTCCGGACCTTTTTACTGTGAAAGAGAGTCAAATGTTAACATCTGGATTATGTCATGCTTTTAGGAAAACACGTTTCTCAAGTCCAGTAGCTGTTATCGCTCTTTGCAGTATTGATGGTGGGTTTCCTTCCGGACCTTTATATTGTGAAAGAGTGTGAAATGTTAACATCTTGATTATGTCATGCTTTTAGGAAAACACGTTTCTCAAGTCCAGTAGCTGTTATCGCTCTTTCCATTATTGATGGTGGGTTTCCTTCCGGACCTTTTATTGTGAAAGAGTGTGAAATGTTAACATCTTGATTATGCCAGGCTTTTAGGAAAACACGTTTCTCAAGTCCAGTAGCTGTTATCGCTCTTTCCACTATTGATGGTGGGTTTCCTTCCGGACCTTTTTATTGTGAAAGAGTGTGAAATGTTAACATCTTGATTATGTCATGCTTTTAGGAAAACACGTTTCTCAAATCCAGTAGCTGTTATCGCTCTTTCCACTATTGATGGTGGGTTTCCTTCCGGACCTTTTTATTGTGGAAGAATGTGAAATAATTTTTATTATATTATTATTATTATTATTATTATTATTATTATTATTTTTGTTATTATTATTATATTATGTTTTTATTATTATATTATTATTATAATCATTATTATTATATTATTATTATAATTATTATGATTATATTATTATTGTAGTATTTTATTAGTATAATTATTATTATATTTTATCATATTTTTATTATTATTATTATTATTATTATATTATTATTATGTTATTATATTATTATTATAATTATTATTATATTATTACTATATTATTATATTATTATAATTATTATGATATTATTATGATAATCATTATTATAATTATAATTATTATCATATTATTATTATTATTAAACAAAATGCTTGACGTAATTCTTCCAATATGTTTAAGAGTTTCGCGAAGACCACGATTTAAGAAAAGAAAAAAAAACACTGTTTGAAAATGTAAAACAATATTTCAACAGAATATCTCTTTTCTTTTTCATTGTCAAACACTGTTTTTTCTTTTCTTTATATTTTCTCTTACGTATTATTATTATTATGATTATTTTCTTCTTCTGATTATTGTTGTTGTTGTTGTTATTATTATTATTATTATTATATTTCGATTTCTGCTATGGTCAAACTACCTACCAAGTCCGCGGGAAGACCTAAGGCAGGTAGTGGTGTTTTGTTATGGCTACATTTGATGATTTGTTTTTCTCACTACCCATAACATCACTAGCGTTACATGGATTAATGTGTAATTAGTGTGTGAACTGTACTCATGAAGGCAATTTTTTGTACTTCTCTTAAGCTGGAATTTTCAGGGATTTTTTCAATCTATTATTATTATTATTATTACGTTATCATGTAAGTACCTTCGTTTTTTATAATTTATTTTAATATTTATTATTTATTAATAGTTCTGATGAATCATTCTACAATGTATTTGCCTTCATTGTTTATGACATCCTGCCAACGATCCATTAACTGTTCAATTGCCGGACGATAGAAATCACAAGGTTTTGACTCGAAAAATTAATCAAACCACGTATTAAGCTCCACATTGTTGTTGAACGAAACACCCCTCAAATTGTTAGAAAGTGACCGAAAAAGGTGGTTGTCTGAAAGAGAATATCGTGGGTGTGGCAGAACTTTCCAATTGAGCTCTTTAATTATATGTTTGTTCATGTTAGGTATACATATCATAAAGAAACAACATATACAAATAATTAATTAGCAACGTTAATGTGGTTAATGACGAAATCACTTCGCTAACAAGGCTTAATGAGGCATTAACTTACTATGAATCCCTTGAATAACACGAGCCTTACATTTGAGCTGTTGTCAAAAACACGCTCCGAAACATGTTTAACTGTTAATAAATTGCATAATTTTTTTAAAAAATTCATCTTTCGGCCTACATATATTTCGTTTTATTGTTTGTTTGTGTATGGGAAAATTGTGCCACGAAGATGACAATTTGAAATTGTCGAAAGTACTTAGGAAGTTACTTCAATCTGGCAACAACTCTAATATAGGATCGTATTATTCAAGAAATTGATGTGGTATTTTCTTTTTCAGACTGCTAATTGAATATCTCTCTATATTTCTGAGATGAGGTATTGTATCATGCCCCAGTGGATAAAAGCGTTGATTGGAGCCAGTGACTTGACCCAAAGAGTTGTGAGTTCAATATCTGGCTACGGCAGTGGTGAACAAAAAATACCTGGAGAGTTGATTTAAAAGGAGATAACTGAGACATTCGGAAGAGGCATGTCACGTGGAACTAGAACAATCTAGAACGGTGGACGAAATAAAGGGTTCAGTTCGAAATTCCAACCACCTGAAGAAGTCCGGGGCGTACAACGGCCGAAACGTCGTGAACATGGCAATAAAGATAAGGACAACATTCCGAACAATGTAAATAGTGTAAATAATTACAATACCTCATCTCAGAAATATAGACAGATGCTGAAGAAGGCCGGAGCGTACAACGGCCGCAACGTCGTGAACATGGCAATTAAGACGAGGACAACAGTCCGAACAATGTAAATCGTGTAAATAATTACAATACGTTATCTCAGAAATATAGAAAGATACTGAAGAAGGCCGGAGCGTACAACGGCCGCAACGTCGTGAACATGGAAATTAAGATGAGGACAACAGTCCGAACAATGTAAATCGTGTAAATAATTACAATACGTCATCTCAGAAATATAGAAAGACCCTGAAGAAGGCCGGAGCGTACAACGTCCGAAACGTCGTGAACATGGCAATTAAGATGAGGACAACAGTCCGAACAATGTAAATCGTAAATAATTACAATACGTCATCTCAGAAATATAGAAAGACCCTGAAGAAGGCCGGAGCGTACAACGTCCGAAACGTCGTGAATATGGCAATTAAGATGAGGACAACAGTCCGAACAATGTAAATCGTGTAAATAATTACAATACGTCATCTCAGAAATATAGAAAGACCCTGAAGAAGGCCGGAGCGTACAACGTCCGAAACGTCGTGAACATGGCAATTAAGATGAGGACAACAGTCCGAACAATGTAAATCGTAAATAATTACAATACGTCATCTCAGAAATATAGAAAGACCCTGAAGAAGGCCGGAGCGTACAACGTCCGAAACGTCGAACATGGCAATTAAGATGAGGACAACAGTCCGAACAATGTAAATCGTAAATAATTACAATACGTCATCTCAGAAATATAGAAAGACCCTGAAGAAGGCCGGAGCGTACAACGTCCGAAACGTCGTGAACATGGCAATTAAGATGAGGACAACAGTCCGAACAATGTAAATCGTGTAAATAATTACAATACGTCATCTCAGAAATATAGAAAGACCCTGAAGAAGGCCGGAGCGTACAACGTCCGAAACGTCGTGAACATGGCAATTAAGATGAGGACAACAGTCCGAACAATGTAAATCGTGTAAATAATTACAATACGTCATCTCAGAAATATAGAAAGACCCTGAAGAAGGCCGGAGCGTACAACGTCCGAAACGTCGTGAATATGGCAATAAAGATGAGGAAAACAGCCTGAAGAATGTAAGTAATGTAAATTGCTAAATGAATCTTTGGTACCTGCCGGGAAATGAAGGGAACTTTGTCCGCCTGCTTCAAGGTGACGTGATCCTGCCAACTGAGAAGGAGTGCAAAAAATGGCCGTCCAATGAAGATCTACTTCGATTCCGGGATCTATTGAAAGTGCCACACAAAGAACAGCAAGCGGCAAATTGGACTCCGTACGTGGTAAATGGCTGCCAGACTCACGCCTTCACATGGTCACGCCTTAACATGCCGGAAAGCTTCCTTGTTCAAATAGTACGGGCGTGAACAGGGAATAACTGTGTGATCGGCTGGAACAATTACATAAGAGCTATGAGTCAATAGGCTAGCCTACCTACTGCAATCCAAGATCGGCGGCAAAGGAATGGTGCTTCTGATCGACGACAGCCTGTTCACGAGGCGTAAGAATAATTCTGGACGGATTTTACCACAACAATGGGTCCTCGGAGGAATTTGCCGTGAAATAAACCGCTCTGCTAAAACACTCTAGCCTGCCATTAAGAAAAACTTCGCTGAATGTTTCATTATTTAGTCCGAGAGACCATGACCACTAAGCTTCCGACATTTCAAGGTTAATTATCGATACAATTTCATTGAGCCAGATGCCGGAGTCCACACTCAGAATATCGAACATTTGAGGGGATCAGCAAAGTGGAACAGGTGTCACCGAGGAACGGCACGACACCATCTTGAGACCTAACTGGTCGAGTTCATCTGGAGAAAGCAACTACCCGATGGAGTCGACTCATTCGACGCCACCCTGCAGGCTATCTCCACGTACATGGCACCCGAAGGATACGGTTAATGTTTGTTATTTGGAGAAATAAATTAATATTTGAAACTTATTACCTTATTAATGAAATAATGTATTATTTTTTTGGGGGTGGGGGGATAAATTTATAAAAATCTTGTTATTCTTGTTCTTTCATGTTTTCTTTCATCTTGTTATAGTAATTTTTCAAGCGTAGCTTAGATGTGGCATAAGGCCAAAAGTATGGGGCACCCAGTTAGGATCGAACTTACTATTCAGTCCTATATGATTTTCTAAGCGTAACTTAGATGTGGCACAAGGCCTAAAATATTGGGCACCCAGTTAGGATCGAACTCACTATTCAGTCCTATATGATTTTCTGAGCGTAATTTAGATGTGGCACAAGGCTGAAAATATTGGGCACCCAGTTAGGATCGAATTCACTATTCAGTCCTATATGATTTTCTAAGCGTGACTTAGATGTGGCACAAGGCCGAAAATATTGGGCACTCAGTTAGGATCGAACTCACTATTCAGTCCTATATGATTTTCTGAGCGTAATTTAGATGTGGCACAAGGCCGAAAATATTGAGCACCCAGTTAGGATCGAAGTCACTATTCAGTCCTATATGATTTTCTGAGCGTAATTTAGATGTGGCACAAGGCCGAAAATATTGGGCACCCAGTTAGGATCGAACTCACTATTCAGTCCTATATGATTTTCTGAGCGTAATTTAGATGTGGCACAAGGCCGAAAATATTGGGCACTCAGTTAGGATCGAACTCACTATTCAGTCCTATATGATTTTCTAAGCGTAACTTAGATATGGTACAAAGCCGAAATATGGTGCACTCAGTGAGGATCAAACTCAGCACCCAGCCGTTATTGTTCTTGCTAACCATTGCTCCACGTCGGACTGCCCTTTTATTATTACGGTGATTTTCTAAGCTTAGCTTAGATGTGGCACAAGACCGAAAATGTGGGGCACTCAGTGTGGATCGAACTCACCACTCAGTTGTAATTGCCCTTTCACCTTATCATGTATGCTTTCTTCACAAAGACCAGACTGATTCGGTTATATCTTTTTTTCTCTGATCTTGCTTAACATTCAAAACGGGATGGTCCATTATTTATCTGAGGTAACGCCAGGGCATAACGAAAGCGGGAAGGGAGTGGCACCGCAGAATCATAATATGATTATCAAAATAACGTTCCCCTTTTTTCTAAAGCGGTCAGTCTATTATTCATGAAATCTCCAGTTCAAAGGAGATATTTCGAAACGTACCCTGCGGCATGAGAAGGACAGGACCGTCTCAAAACAAGTCTGGTTGGAAGTACTGGGCGGATCGTCACACAAGTTTATTAAATGTTTATTTACTTCACATAGTCTTTTGGGGCATATTAAAGCGTAGCCGCCCAGTCGAAGGTCTTCGTTGATACCGAAACTAATAACAATAATAATAATGGGCTACGGAGGAAAAGCTTGCTAAGGATGGTGGGGGATTTGCAGCAAAATGGTTGTTTATCACATAAACAGTTTAGGGCATTGTGTGTGTGTGTGTGTGTATATATATATATGTATTTTATGAAATGGACAAAGTCCGTCATTTATTTTAAGACATTTTTATATTCATACGTTCTTTTTTATAGATACAAATATTTAAGTTAATGCTCTGTTTATAATAAACAGTATTAACAACATTTACCGGCCTGAATGTCCGAGAAATTGTCATAGAAAATAGATGCCCTCCGACAGGAATCGAACCTGTATCCTATACGGAACCGTCATATAGCATAATGTGCTTTTACCGATTTCGCCACAGAGGAGCGTTCCGGTTACCAAGGTCGATTTTACTGTTTTTAAACTACAATTTTCCATGATTTTCTCACGTATATTCATATCTCCTCGATGCGTATCCAAATGTAAATTATGAAATGTGATTATCGTAGAAGCGTCGGCTGTGCCTGAAACCCCAACTGTCTGGCGGAAAGTGTTGTTTATCGAGCAGTAGTTAAAGTATCAGCCCCCCCCCCCCTACGATATCGTAGATTGGATCAATCGAGGATGCATTTCTTTCACTGTGAAAATGTATGGCTGTTTTTTTTATTTTTCTATGAAAATGTATGGCTGGTATATTTTTGTTACTATAAAAATATATGGCTGGTAAGTCTTTTACTATGAAAATATATGACGTAATTTTTTTACTGTGAAAATGTATGGCTGGTAATTTTTTACAATAAAAATGTATGGCTGGTAATTTTTTACTATGAAAAAGTATAGCTGGTAATTTTGTTTTACTGTAAAATATATGGCTGGAAACTTTTTGCTATAAAAATGTATAGCTGGTAAGTATTTTCTATGAAAATGTATTGAAGGTAATTATTTTTTTGCTATGAAAATGTATGGTTCGTGATTTTTTTACTATGAAAATGTATGGCTGGTGATTTGTTTAATATGAAATGCATGGTTGGTAATTTGTTTAGTATGAAAATATATGACTGGTAATTTTTTACTATGAAAATGTATGGCTGGTAATTTTTTTTATTATGAAATGTATGGCTGGTAATTTGTTTTTACAATGAAAATACATGGCTGGTAATTTTTTTACTATGAATATGTATAACTGGTAATTTTTTGCTATGAAAATGTCTGGCAGGTAATTTTGTTTTTACTATGAAAATGTATGGCAGGTATTTTTTTACTATGAAAATGTATGACTGGTAAATTTTTATTTTAATATGGTAATGTATCACTGATATTTCTTTCTGATTTATTTTTATAATTTCGATATTCATAAAATGTATTAATTATCATTTTGCTATAAATATTTATTGTTAGTAATTTTATTATAATAATGTATTGTTCATTTTAGTGTAAATTATATTGTTGGTAATTTTATTTTATAAATACGTATTGCTGGTAATTTTACTATAAAAATCTATTCTTATACTTTCCTAGTGTTTTCATCTTTGTTTGGCGGTGAGGGTTCAGTTTGCCCATAGGTGGGACTCTAACAGGTGCTACCACTCTTGATCAGGATGGACCTGGGTAAACAGCAATTAAGAGGTGGTTCCAAGCTCTTCAAAACCTTGCGGTCAGTGGGTTGCTGCCTGGTGTATTTTATTGTCATACCCAGGACCCAGGACAAAATAGGCCCTCATACAAAGATAACTTGGAATATAGCGAAAAAATGCATGATGGGGGGGGGTAAATTCTACAAGTTGTTCCAAGGCTGGGAATCTTCATGTCCCGCAGATCCGCGTTCTCTTTTAAATAAGAGTCAGTTTTGATTTCAGAGTTTTTCTTCCCCTAGATTGGTCTAAGCCTCAAGACAAGAGGCCTCGGTTTACCCTGCTATTTAATCCATAGGTGGAGGAAGATGAATTCATACTCTTTCCAAGGTTATTAGTGCTAAGTGAACGAAAAAAGAAGTACCGAGCATGAATTGAACACGGCCCGCTTTATTCGCAGATATACATTACAACATTCCTCTAAATACAATGCTAATTCAAAAATACGCTCTTAAGTAGGCGCCCGAAGGGGTCGTCAGTGATGTTATTTGACTTGGTTCATCAGGGAGTTTCTCTTGTTCATGATGACGGTCGTCTTCGAGTATAGAATCCAGTGGTTAGCAGTGAATATTTCGAAGACAGTAGGGAAGCGTAGTTCAGGTTAGCAGTGGATATCCCGGTAAAGTAGCAGAGCGTAGTTCAGTAGTTCTTCCTTCTGTTCCTCTTCGCCTGACAAGCTGGCACTGGACATTCGAAGAGAGTAAACAAAATGGCCGCCTTTATACACGACGGATTGAATATTTTACGTCTTCTGATTGGTTAACATTCTATTGGTGGACTATAAAGTGAGTCAAGTCATTTGGGATAGCTCACTAGTAAACATACCCAAAAAACTGCAACAGTTTCGGGTCTTTCAACATCATACTCCCCATCGACAAGTTGACCCAATCAGGGGAGATCAATCCCTCATCCCACCTCTCAGTCTAACACACATATATATATATATATATATATATATATATATATATATATATATTAGTGGTAAATATACACATACATATGCAAAATATATAAATATATATACATACATGCATACACATACATATATATTTTGTATAAAAAATTCCAAGAGGACAGAATCCAGGTAGAACTCAATGTCCAGGACAGAGTAAGGATATAATAAAAAGGCTTAAACACTAATATTCCATGGTCATAATTTATTCCATTGGAATCCTAAATTTCGATCCAATTCATCAGACCTACAAATTCGAAAAGAAAACAGAAAAAACAACTCCGGAAATAAAAGATGAGAGTGTGGGACGAATGTTAGAGCTATAGAGAGGGGTAAAAGACGAGAGAAGGTGGTGGATTAAAATTTAACAAAGAGAAGTTTTAGAGAGGGGTGTCAAAGACGGTTTAAGTGAGAGAAATATGAATGTTGTCGGATGTCTAATACATTAAAGATGTAACCGGAAAGGATCCATTTTGTGGTGACATACACACACACACACACAATAGACGATCTAATCTTAAAGATCAGAAAATCTAAATATAGCGCTAACTATATGAAAAAAAAATCGACTTCCAAGGTGTCATTCAAATGAGCCAATTGCTCAACATAATTTTAAAAAATATGCTTGCCGAGGTTCTAGTAATTCTTAATAAAACTGAATCCTATCAAACACAGAAATATTTCCCCTGTAGATTCTATTTTCGCTGAGATATTAAATGGCGCGCAGCAATTTGCTATTTTTTTCACCGTTTGTATTTCCATAATGAATCTACTTTGAATCACCAGTGAAAATAATCTAAAAAAAAAGAAGTCTTCTATGTTGATTAAAAAGAAACAGTTATAACTGCATTTAGGAAAGAACAACCAAAAGCTGGACTTGCGGCACAATAACAGCGTACACAACGTAGGTCCATAAAAAAAAAGGAAATGTAAATTTCAAATATTGGCGCAACACAGTCTTCCTACCTTGACATTTCGACTCATTTGTGATATACTAAGCTCGGCTT